AGGTGCCCTGGAGCAAGGTCTGAATGTTGAGTTGATTATCACTGAAGTCAAGTACCCCAAGAGCATGCCCAGAAGTTCGCTCTAGTTTACAATTTTATAATTAGCCTGATAAGTTTTTTAAACTTATTTGTGAACATAATCCAGAATAATTGCTATTTGCATGCAGAGTTGCAAGTTTCACAGTTCACCTGATTTAAATTTGCATGAAAAAAAAAGTGAGATCATCATTTAATGTAGGCAAAGGTATATTATTTCCCTGCTTATGCATAGCATAAATAGCTGATTATCCACAGCCTGGCTGCAAAAATTCACCCTGCACCTGAAGCCAAATATGAGGAATATCAGCTCCACAGGAGACCTACAAATCACTCTGAATGGGAAAAACAACAAGCTGTTATTTAAACAGCTTTGCAACCAAAGGACATGCTTTAATGAAGTCCTTCCAGTGAGCAGACAGATCACTCACTTGGCTGGTCAGCCCCAATAGCCCTGGAAGAGTGAGATTTTGGTGAATTTTGACTGTTTAAGGCCAACCAATCTAGTCACCTTTAACAGGAAGGGCCGTGCCAGTGGGAGCTGGACTGGGAGCAGAGCTGTGGCAGTTTCTGTGCCTGGTACACCTTGCCAGCCTGTACTGCAGTAGCTGAGTAACCATGCAAGGTACTGTTAAACTGCCATAAAATGCTTCAAGTACTTTCAATCAAGCAGGTAAATGACTCCTTTACTGCTGCACCTCAGTCACTTGCCTTGCATTCACTCTGTCCCTCAGTGAGTTTCTGATGTTTCTGGTCCATCATGGAAGAACCCATGGTGCAGAATATGTACAGCAGGCACTGTGCAGCTGTTTGTCGCGGGGTGTGGTGTCACACCTCTGAACCCATCAGTCAGCAGCTTCCCTTTGTCTTCAGCAAGATTTTCATTCCCTCACTACTGTTAGCAGTTCTTTCTTCTGAAATTTCTTACTGCTTCATGTGCTTCCCACGTTGGCTGACAAGTATTGTCTTCCTGCCATTTTCCTAAGTTTTCCCTGGACCCACAAGTATGTTACTTGGGGTTTTTTTGTTGCAACTCTGCCATTGCCTGATGCAACAGCTCCAACATCCTTTTTCACTGAAGTTCCTCCTTCAGAACTTAATGAAATCTGCTGAAAGCTGCAAAGTGAGCAGCTTTCTCTCTCACTCTTCCACTCTCTCATGCTTTGTTTTTAATTCCAGCCTGGTTGAAGAGGACAATGACAGCTTTGGATATGATGCTTTGGAGCTGGATGGTAAGCAAGAGGATATCATGAGTACAGTTTTACTATGAGATCTATGGGATTAACTCCCCAGCTATAGAGACTGTCAAATAACCAACTCCTGCTCTAAAAAAACGGGACATACATTCTGAGAAAAAATCAAGTCACTTCATCATAACAAGAAAACAAAAAAAGGGTCAACTCGTGGTGAGAATGAGAAAGCAAAACTAAGTGGAAAAAGGGTTAGGTTTTTTTTACCATGAAGGTAGTCAAACACTGGAGCAGGGGTGTCCAGAGAGGTTGACTAGTTAAATATCTTCATCCTTGGAGGGATTTAAACCCAGCTGGACAAGTCCTGAGGAATCTCCTCATGCTGACCCTGCATTGAGCAAGGGCTTTGGCTAGACAGTCTCTAGAGGTCATTTCCCACTTGCTAATCTGTGAGACTGATCAGGTAGGTCCAGTAAGCAAGACTGGCATTCCTTGTGCCATGTTCTGTGGATATGAATCAAGCCTTTGCATCAGGAATATCCTCCTTCAGCTTTGGGATCAATCAAACATTCATTTTTCTTTTTTCTGTATTTGTCACTTTATCTAGGACTCGGTTTCATTCTTGTTACTCTTTCCAGATGACAGTCATGACAGGCAGTCACATGGAGCTCCTTCAGTGCACTCTTCCTCTTCTTCTCATCAGTCAGAAGGCCTGGATGCCTATGATCTTGAGCATGTCAACTCCATATTTAGAAAGTTCTCTCTGGAAAGGTATTTGAGATGTCAGTTCACCTACCTGAGCCAGAGGCTGAGGGGAAGGGCTGCTGTGGTAGAGACCCTCTATTTATCTATTAGTTGCTGAAGAGGTAATGGCAAGAGTGATGTCCCAAGTTGTTATTTGACACAAAGATCTCACGATACTGTGCTAAGTCTTTACTTCTTTATGGAGGAAGCAGCATAACATGTTATCTTGGAGCCCTTTCATATCCTGTAAACCCAGGAAGGTCATCCTAGAATTTCAAGAACTTCAAGGCAGACAAAATGTTCTAAAGGCTTACATTGATCCTTGTGATCTTGCTGTCTTGCTGCAAGAGGTTGCTAAGTGGAGTACTGCTATCCACTGAGTTCCTCGGTCATGCCAGAGCACTTGAAGCTATCCACACGCTCTTCACCAGAACTTGTGCAGTGACGAGAAAGATTTATTTTAGCATCCTTAGATCCTAGTGCTTGATAATACTAGAAGTTTATTTATATGTCTTTCATTTCTCATGCATGCATTTCACTCTGGAGTGATGGCTGAAAGCTGAGACAACTAACTGTTCTGTCCTTTCCTGAACACAGACCCTTCCGTCCCTCTGTCACGTCTGTTGGTCGCCTGAGGAACTCCTGCCATGCAATCCAGCGCATCACGCTGAACGGAGACAGCCTCAACTCAGAAATCACTCTGGTTGGGGGCAATGACAAAGGGAGCTTTATTAGCTCTGTCAAGACAGGATCCCCTGCAGAGAAAGCTGGACTTCGGGAGGGACACCAAATCCTCCTGGTGAGCGTGAAATGATCACCCAGCAGTGCTGCCAGTCTGTCCACCTACACGTGCTGTCCCTGCCCTCACACAAGCAGGAGTTCAACAGTGCTTCTGCTGAGTTCCTCTCTGCTTTGTTTTCTCTCTATTGCCAATGATCCAACCATTTTCCCTATGAAAATGCCTCTAAGGGGAAAATAAACCCCACAATTTATATTCCTGCACTGCTTCCTCCTGGGAAGCCTGGGATTGTCAAAGTGCTCCAGTTCTGTTGACTGCTAGCAGTCCTAATTTGAGATATAATAACTTAAATAATTAGAACATAATCTACATCCTGATAGCAAAGTATCTGCATTGTTTAATCAGAAAAAGATTATGCCACTTGAAAAAAAAAGGTATAATTGACTCAGAGATTGAACCTGCACTGGAGAGTAATATTTCTTTCATATTTAGTTGGAGGGCTGCATCAAAGGGGAAAATCAGAGTGTTCCCTTGGATACTTGCACAAAGGAAGAAGTTCACTGGACAATTCAGAGGTGCAGTGGTCCAGTAACACTCCAGTATAAATCAAATCATGAAGGTAAGACCTGAAGTATTTCTTATCTCAAATAGTCCCGGGTCTGTTATAGCAACTTGTCTGGATGAGAGTGACAGAACCAGAATATCCTTAGTACTGGGCTAAATGTTGAGCATGGTACTGGTGTTAATCACAGCCCCTCTGTGCAACTGCTCCAGCTTTTAGCCTTGTGACTGAGAACAAAAAAAGCCCATGAGCTTGTCACTTCAGGATCTGAAGCATTTACATGGAGGGCCAATAACAACATGACTCACAAAGCACATTCAAGCTTATTTTTATGTACAGTTTCTGCACTACAACGTGGTGAGCTGAATGATCTTTATCCAGCTGGTCGATTTAGCATTTACCTGATGGAGTTGCCCTGTTTATTACCTTTGTGGCTTTATCTTATCTTTAACAGCTGGAGTTCATGTGTGGTGAACAGAGTTTGATTTTAGTGTTCAGGGCCTATAATGATAATTTCAGGTTATGGATCAAAAATTACATTCCAAAATCCATTTTTTTTTTTTACTGATGTGTATAATTTTGCATTTGGGGTGTTTTTTTCAAGTACTGGTTAGAGAATTTCAGCTGCACAGATCACGCAGGAAGTGATTTCTTTGATTTTCTTTGATGTTTTCAAAGGTAGGAAAGATTATTGCCATTTTTTTTGAGCACCACTTAACTGCAGATAAAGCATGTTATAGATTCTGGGAGTGCCAATTAGAGCTAATAATAAGGGGAATAGCTTGTCATTAAAATTGGTGGCAGAACTCACACTGTACTTAGAGGGTAGAGCTATATCTGTGTCTGTCTTTGCCGAGAAGTTCTCAGTTTCACAGGTCATGTGTGGAGTGCTGGAAATGGAGCTACCTAAAAGGAACATTATAATGAGAATATTCTCACAGATCTGACAGCAGCAGCATGAGCTGTTCCTGAGGCAATGCCCCATTAGTGTCTCTGAGGTGCAGCCCCAGGACCTTGCTGTAACTACTGTAACCAGCACTCTGGCACTACAAACCCCCTCTCAGAGGGGCCTCAGAAGTTTGTGCTGTGGCTTCTCCCAGAAGATTCCCAGGAATGCAGCAACACCAAGGTGTGAGATCTTGCTTCACCCCTTCCTTCTCTGCTGCAGGTTACAGGAAGCTGCTGTCGGAGCTGGAAGAAGGACTGATCACATCGGGGGACTCGTTTCACATCCGCCTCAATCTGAACATCTCCAGCCAGCTGGACTGCTGCTCCCTGTCAGTGAGGTGTGATGAGATCGTCCATATCCTTGACACCATGTACCAGGGGAGGTGTGAGTGGCTGTGTGCCAGAGTGGATCCATTCACTGACAGGGACTTGGAGATGGGGACCATTCCCAGCTACAGCAGGTGAGTGTGATGCTGAGTGACCACGACTGAGAGCAGTGGTGCTGTACACAGGGAAATGAATAACTGCTGGAAGGAAAGAGGTGTATGTCTTAATTTCTGAGATAAGGCCTGGTGATGTTAAACCGTAATATGAGCCATAAAGCTTAAGAAAGGAGACTCCAGATGTTACCCGAAGGAATAATGTGGGTTACTCCAAAGTATCATATGAAAATATGCCATGGAGATTCTTGAATCCTTAAGTGCACTGCAGTCCTGCTCATTATTTTGTTCCTGCATTTACTGTGTGGTTCAGTCAGTCCTCGCTGCTATTTGTATTTAATCTTTTCTGTAGGCACAGTCCCATTGCAGCCCAGCTTTATTCTGAGTGGTTTCACAAATATCTTGATCAGTGTGATTCCATCCTTTCTTTCAGAGCCCAGCAACTGCTTCTGGTGAAGCTGCAGCGGCTGATGCACAGAGGAAGCAAAGATGAGACAGAGAACTCCTATAATACCCTTCGGGCACTCCGGGTAAGTATCTACAAACAAGGTCTTTTTAACACCTGATACTCCCCTGCTACTTGTTTTTCAGTTTTCATTTTACATCATCATTTTACAGAAAGTCCTGTTTCCACTCTGGGTAGGTTTGGATTGTGCCAGGCAATGGACACCTTATGTTTGCTTCAATTGACATTGTCCCTGGCAATGAACCTAGCTTGACACACTATTAACCCTTCTAGCTAGGAGGGAACACTTTAAAAGTCAAGTCTTGATTCTCTGTTTTTTTAATCTTTTTTCATTCTTCTCTGCCTGTAAACCTCTAATGCATCTTCGTATGCACATGAGGAAGATGATGTATCCTTGAAGTTAATAATCAGAATTATTTATCTCCTATTATGAACAAGCATCTAACCCACAGATTCCACTGTCCCACATTAGAAAGACCTGTCCCTTCCAATTTAGTTGCCATGGGAAGACTTGGGATTATCAGGACTTCACACACAACAGCTCTGCTATGTTTTTTCTTTCAGCGAAAGCGATTTGATTTTTCTTTCTTTAGACCCCAAAAATCCATCTTTAAAACCACTTTCCTGGTGTATTAGTTACCCTAAGTTGTTTTTTTAGAGTCTGGGAGCAATATATGCTTCTAACATTTGCAGACAGGTAGGCAGTGCTTGTATTTGATTCCAGTCCAGGTCAAGTGTCACACATTCCTTCTGTACTCATGTCCTCACTGATCAAAAGGACAGAGATCACTGGCAAAGGTGCTAGTGAAAGCAAAAACTTTGCATGCTCTTCCTTGCTGCAGAAATTACCTCTTTCTTAAGGTGTGCAGAGCAGTCTCCTATGAAAAAAGGGATGTGGGAGAGCAGTGACAAAGCAGTGTTTATCAGCACAGGCCATGCTGTGTCTACAGTTTGTTCAGAACATTGTGTTTGGGATAATTATCAATCACTGTCCTTTTATTGAAAATATATCTACTTTTGCATGTTTTGTTTCTTACATGTTCTCATTTTTAATAAAATATACAAAAAGGAGGGTGGGGAAGAAAAATTCCTGTGTATTTTTTTTCCTTAGAACACTTTGCAGCCAGAGGATCATGTCCCACAGAATGACCCCAAAAGCAGCCCTCGCCTGTCCAGAGCCAGCTTTCTTTTGGGACAGATTTTACAGGTAATCAAGTTCAAATCCTCCATGCAATGTCTGAAATAGTGGATCTGAACAGTAGATATTTCTCAGGCTATCCTAATTCCCCCCGAAATCCCAGCTCAGGTATAGAAGTTGTATTGGAATTTATTCCTATCAAAAAGAGATTTAGTACACGAAAGAGAAGGATGGGTTGTGTTTTCTCTTGTGATGTGGGTGTTTGTTTTTAAGAGCATTCCTTCCATTACTCATCTACCTCGAGGAACCCAACGTGTCTAGCATCAGAGGCTGAAATGTGTTTTGCTTGAACTGTGAGGACAAATCCATTGGGCTAGACCAAATCTCCAAGTCTCTGTGAGATAAGGGTCAGTCAGAAAATAGTCCTTTAGCTGTGTGTCGGTGACTCTGAGCGAGACAGTGACTGTGTGGGTGGAAGATAAAGTCTTGTGAAGGAAGGTGGTTGTGAAGGTGAGCAAATACACAGGAGGAGGAATTAATATTTGGACATAGGAATAGCTGTGGATGAGGAAGGAAAGCATGAAGCATATTTCTCAGTGTAAAAAGATGCTATTTGGAAGGTTTTAAGTCTTTCTGGTAGAGCAAAGAAGAGGCAGTTTGGGTATAATATGATTTATTTGTGCACGTACTCTGCTGCTACTGGTGATAGCAGGGAGCTCTGTGAAGGCAAAACATGCCTCTTAAGAACAGAGAACAAAATAAGAAATCCCAAGGGGGATTAACAAAGGCTCTGAATCGGATCTATGATATTTAAAGAGTCTTAGAATTCAGTCAACAGATCCATGGAGTCTTTTCTTTGATAGACATATGTAATTCAGATCTCACAGGTAACGAGTGTCAACTGAGGAATACATGAGAGAATAAATAAGGCAAGAAATGAAGGTCAGATCTTTTTCTTTGTTCACCTTTTTAGTTTGTCAGTCGGTCTGAAAACAAGTACAAGCGTATGAACAGCAACGAGCGCGTGCGCATCGTCACGGGCTGGCCCACCGGCCTGGCACGCACCTCGTCCGAGGCAAAGAAGCAGTTACCTGATAAACTAGAAGGTATGGATATAAAACAGCTTTTACACACGTGGCACTGATACAAAGGTCCACATAAAGGTCCTCAAAACACCACAGCTGTAAAAAATGTCATAGCTCTTGCCTATTACTACCATTTGTGAGCCACTCTGCAAAATATTCAACAGCAGTTGTGACCAAAACTGATTTTGCTAAATGTGCTTAGGGCACTAAGGCTTCATGAGCAAGTTTAGGACACTGAAACCTCCTGTTCCTCCTAGGTGCTTTCCTGTTTTTTGTTCTAAAGCATTTGACTCAAAGAAAGTCAGGCCAACGAGCAGAAAGAGTCTCCAAACAAGTGTTAAACTATGAAATAATCTCTTGAAAGCAAAAGGCACTTGCATTATTTAGTATTAGGTTATACATCATACCGTGACATATATAGTAAAGGCAACTCTGACAAAAGGGAAAGGAGGACGTTATCACTAGCCACGTCATTTCTGGTTCATGTGTGTCTCCTGCCTGTTCTTCTTGATGGAGAGGAAACCAGAGGATAAATATCTTGTTCTTTATTCAGATTTGGATTCCGAGAGTGAGATCAATAAGAAGCTCAGTCTGATCCCTTATAGCTTGGTGAGACCAATCCACTGCGAGCGCAGGCGCCCTGTGCTCTTCACCCCCACCATGCTGGCCAAGCCCTTGGTACAGAAGCTTCTCAACTCTGGAGGTGCCCTGGAATTCAACATATGCAAGCCAGGTAATGGGATGAAAGAGGGACATGACTGCCAACCCTCAGTGTTGGAAATCTGAACATATATATGCGCACACACGTAGGGGCATGAACATGTGAGAGTTGCTTGAGGTACTTCAAGTCACATCAGAGTGATGTGTAGCTGTAAATCCTGCTTTTTGAGCCTATCTGAGATATTTTAATGTTTTTGAGACAGCCAGTGCACATGGTTATGAGATTCTGTGTCTATAAATATTATCCATGTGTATGCTGTGTGGTTGCTAGGCTGCCCCTCCGAGACTGAAATGCTGTGAGTGCTCTTTCTGTTTGCATACTGTTTGCATACTGCACATCTAGGCAATGTGAAATTTTGATTAATTTGTTTCTAGTATTTGCTATTATGAGGAATATCTTCCCTAGAGCGACTTTAGGTTTCTGTCTCATCCAAGCTGTGAAGATTGTGCATTTGATCTACTCGAAAGACTGATTTTCTCCCATGCTAAGTATTTACTATTAAAGCAACGCGCAGTACCGTGATGGCTGCAGGGCAGGATTGTATACAACACAGCATTAAACAGAGCTGACGTTTCATTTTTACCCTAATGTTGAGTACCCACAGCATAGGATGCAGCCTTACAGTCAGCCAGACAGAGAAACTGAGAAGTTAAGTATTCTAATAAATATCCCTTGTCTTGCAACATAAAACAAAAGCTTTGATGTAGGGCTGCAATTCACAAGGGGCAGGTATCACACATTGCAACCTAAGCCAATTTCTTTTTGAAACTTTAAACACAAATGTTGGAACACTAAATCCTTGTTTTGGGATCCTGGACTGAAGAGAGCTTCTTTTTTTTAGTACTTCTCAGCATCCTCCATCCCCAAAACGTTACTATATAACGTTAGGTGCTGGAATTGTATTTACTGGCTTAATTTAATGCCTTCACAGTGCTGTAGTAATTGCCCAAGGACTCATTGGTGCAGGATATAGCTGAGATGCTCAGCTGTGATCAGATTAGGCTTTAATTGAATTCAATGGAAGAAATGAGGCAGCTGTTAAGACAATTCATTGCTCGTCTTCTTTCCCTGAACCATCCTTACATCCCGTGTGAAGTAGTATCGGATAGTTTTCTACATGTTCTGCTCTTGTAATCTTGGTTTTGTCCCCATCCACATCTCTCTCTAGATATTGTAACAAAGGAGGAGTTCATAAGGAAGCAAAGGACAGAGACTGTCATCTTCAGCAGAGAAAAGAATCTGAACACATATGAATGCATTGTACCTGCCAATATCGAGGCTGTCACTGCCAAGGTGCTCAGACCCCTCTGTGCCCCTCGCTGAGCTGTCTGTGAACCTCTCTGCAATGGATGTTTCTTCTTGAATTAAGAGGCTGACCAACTTACAGTTGGATGTTTTCTCTCTTGCCCACCTTCAATCTCAGATTTGTATTTATTCCCCTAAACAGCTTTTATTTGTGCTCTTGCTTTTCCTTTTCATCCTCAACCATATCCTTTTATATTCTTTCTTATTCCCTGAGATGACCCACATTGATGCAGCAAAATATCCTTTCAGTTTCTGTATTCATTTCCTTTTAATATCATAAGTATATATGAATACACATGAGAATAAGAGATACAAGGACCTAGACAAAGGAAAGGAAAGCCTGAAACCCAGACATAGGGGTGTGAGAAAGAACATAATGCCAAAGACAGAGATCTGGTGTCAAGTAGAGTAGATTTGATGCACAGCATGGAAAAAAGGAGAATTAAAGTGATGTTTTTTCTCTCCCAAGTAGTTGCAAAGGATGTCTTTTGCTGAACAAAGAGCAACTCTGTGTTTGTGTCTACAATGTATTTTATCATACATTTCATCTTTAGCACGAACCATTTCTATTTTAAACCTTTTTAGAAAGCTCTTAAGCTCAGCTGTTCTTTGGCTGACTAGTTTTAACCCAGTAGGAGGAGTTGGACTTTAAATGTATATTTGATTAAAAGGTTTGAAATCGGTGCAATGGTAAATAGAGAGCTTTCCATCTGATCCCAGAAGGGGTGGATACCTTTATCTTGAGATTCCACAGCAGTGAATGTCCCTTTGTGACACTGTTATGACTTTGTTTTTAGAACAAGCATTGTCTCCTGGAGGCTGGAATAAGCTGCACAAAGGATTTAATCAAAGCCAAGATATATCCTATTGTTCTCTTTATCAGAGTCTCAGAGAAAAACATCAAGAGGTTCAGGTAACATATCAAATCTTTTGCATATTTGATGTTCTGTCTCATTCAGTGAAAAATTCTCGAGTCCAATAATGTTCTCACTGAGTGAAATAAAGAACCTCACATGTCCCTTCATCTGGTGCTTCAGTGTGCACTGTTTCCTCCCATGACTCCTCCCTGAAATCTTACAACTGGAGAAGGCAGGAATTCCCCAAATCTACCACTCTTTCACTGTCACTGGCAGCAATGAGCACTGTGGGAGGATGAGACCAAAGAATATGTAGTTTTCTCCATGCTCAGCACTCCCACAGCATTTCTTAAGGTAATGCTGGCTGGAAGAGGAAAGGTCGTAAACACTTGCACTCTCCTTCCATTCAATCCTCTTAAACTGTTTCCCCACAGCAAATATTTTTCCTTGGGGGCAGCATGGAGGTGAGGGGAGGATAGACCTGGAGTAGCTTTATTCTCCACTGCTTTTATTGCTTGTCTATAGTCAGTACAAAATAAATTCTTGATGGGGCAGCTGGGACTGCAGGATTAACTTCAAATGTGAGACATTTATTTTTGGTCTGCTCATTTGATGCAGGAAGCTACTGCCAAAGCCAGAGACCGAGGACGAGTTTTTACGTACGTGCCGCCTGAAGGAGAAAGAACTGGAAGCTCTGCCCTGCCTTTATGCCTCTGTGGAGGCAGATGCATGGAGCAGCATTGAAGATCTCATCAGAACAATAAAAGACAGGATCGGGGAAGAGCAGCGGAAAACCATCTGGATAGATGAAGATCAGCTATAAAAAGCAATATGTCACGTGGAGCTCTTTGGTGACCAAAGGACATATCCAGGTGGAGCAGGGGCTCGCAGAATTCTCTGATTAGGTGCCCAGAGCTCACTCCTGTTTCACCCTTGCTGGCTGGGGACTTCCTGCTGGCAGAATGCGTGTATGGAATGGAACTGGAGCTGTGTTGAATGGTCAGTGTCCCAGGGGCTGGAATCTAGGATGTGGGTCAGACCACAGCCACCACCACCACTTCTGACCCACCAGCACCTCTTCAGGGGCAGCAGCTGTTTAACATGTGAGAAGGACAAAGATCTCGAGAGAAAGCTTGGGGGGAACTTATTATGGTAAAAATAAGGACCTCATTTGGCTCATTGAAAACTTCATATGAGACCAAGTAAAATCTGAGAGGAATAAAGCTTGGGAATTGGGCTACAGGATACGGAATGGGGATGTGCCACTCACACCCCCTGAGGTGAGGCTCTCAACAGGCCCAGCTGAGGAAGGTGAAGGCTGGTTAGTGGCAGCAGCAACACAACTGCTGGTGGCCAGAGCAGCTCTGTAGCCCTGTTTCTGCATAACCATTTTAATCAGAAGAAAAGAGCTATCATTCCTGGCATTAATTAAAAATTTCCCTTCCTTTTTAAACTCCAGTTTTATTTAACAGTTTTGCAGGTCTCCTTTGTAGTCCTGGCACTTACAGGAAAACAGACTCCACTGTCCCAGTGGCACATCAGATCTTTCCAGATCTGCCAACGTTTCGTTTCGTTTATCCCTACCTCTGCACGATTAATTTGTACATCTCTCAATTTTTAACTGTAGAACATTTTCTTTTCTTGTGGAAAATACCATGGTGCCTTCTCTAGAAAACAGGTTTCTCTGTTTCTCCACTGAAATATTTCTCTACAGCATCATTGCCTGCCAACATGCCTGCTCTCAACAGGAGGGACTGTTCTGAGAAGAAGAAAAGGAGAATTTCATAAGCCAGTAATTGCTGTGAGCCACTCAGTCCTTGACCTCTCTGCTGTGATTGACAGTGAGGAGACCAGCAAGCATCACACTGTGCCGTGGCCAAGTAGGATAACACTTTCAGGAGTGTGTACATGACTGAGGAGACCACGTCCCATTTTCAAAAGCACTTAAGTCCTCAGAGAGTTTACGTTCCACTGATCATGAGTGGGACTTATACTCCTAAATCTCTTCAGTCTTTTAAAATCTTTCCTCTCTGCATTACATGCTGTGTTGAGGCTGCCAAATTGATTCAATAAAACTGACCCGATAATAATGACTTAGGCAATTGCTGATCTGAAATGCAATAAAAATTGACCTGCAGATGAAGAGTTGTACATCCCATTGTCCTTAGATCCCTCATTTCGTGCCATATCCCTCCCTTTTAAAATGCTTTTAATAACAAATTTACCTTTGCTTCTGTGTTCAGCCCAAGTCCCCCATCGTGGTGCTGCAGGCTGGCGTGCAGCAGCTGGCTATGAAAAGACAATCAGGATCCAAACAAAACATCTGGCCTGGTTGCCCTCACTAGATTAGCTGCAGCCTTGTTTTAGCAATGAGCTCCTGATGCTGTGGGTGTCTCTCAGGTAGGCTGGGTCAGTTCATGTTGGCTTGTGGGATTGTGCTTTTCTGCACTCCTCTATTCTGCACATCATTTTTTAGCTAATGGAATCTTCTAGAAGTAATTTCTGTCACTTTACATCTAATTTCTGCTGCTGTTGTTTCTCAAGTTATTAATGTTTGAAAGGCTGTTCATAGCCTGCACTTCTCAGAGAATATCTCTTTACCTGCCCAGTGCCATCTGCTTGGACTGTGCAAGCAGGGAGATACTTCTTTGTGCAATCTCTTTACAGAAAGCACAGGCTGCACACACAATTTGCAACTCCCTCCAGGGCAAAGCATAACTACCAGTTGGGGTATATATAGAACAAATTGGATGATTCTTCAGAGATCCTTTGTAGCTCAAGCAGAAATAAGAAAGTATCAGTTGGAAGAACTAAGCCTTCCAGGAGCATTTTGCATTCATTCCTAATGTCCTGATAATGCAACCTTGTGTAACAGCTGCCTGTGGGTTGTTCCTGCCCCTCTTGTGAAGCTTTGGAGTTCGCAGCTGAGCGATGGGAGGGACTGCAGGAACATTTCTCAGCTGCTTCAGCAAAAAGTTCAGCCAGGTCAGCGTCAGATGCCTTCAGAAGCAACCAGCTGACTGCTCACCGGACAGAACACGTAGGATGGCTGTGTCCCACTGGCTGTGCCACAGGGATCAGTACCATCTGCTGGAATGGCTGGAACAGATGGCTGCTGGGGTGGAGGGGATGGAGTATCTCAGACTGCCGTGGTGGTTTCTGCAGTCATCTCCTCTCACCACAGCTCTATGTCTGAGCCCTCTTTACATGGACAACAGCTGCGGATGTGATTTATCCTGCTTCACTTTTGTCACAGGAAAGGTATATGCCAGACCCTGGGGGAGGTTCCTTCAGCAGAGTGGAGAAACACCTCCAAAGAGCAGTTTGCCTGCCTTGCTGTAGATGGCTATCTGAGGGTGAGATGAACTGCCCTCTGAACTGTCTGGGCTTTTTCATAGACTACAGAAAGAAACTAGAGAATTAGCTTGGCCTTTAGCATTTAGCCTTTTGATCTGTAATTTAGGACAGCTAAACCACCTTATGGGAAAAGTGGAATTAGAGATTGAGGCAGAGAACAAGAGATCTAATTATTTCTGTGAAACAAGAGAGGAATGAATACATGGAACAGTCATTTCTTCTCCTATCCGAGTACATCTGTAAATTCCCAGCTCTGCAGATACTGTAAGGCATTGTGGTTGTCTACTCATGTCATGCAAAGCAACCAGACCCTTCAAGTGAAGTTCAGTGACAGAGCTGTGTGCTGTAGCCTGCACAACTCTCATCTCTCTGTGACTCAGTGGAGAAGGACTGAAAACGCTATCCCCTCTTGACTTCTGGGTGTGAAGTGAAACAGCAGATCTATAGCTGGAGCTGAGCTGCAGAGCAGCCAGAGTGAAAGGGGCCACTGCCACTTACAGTGCTGGGAGCTGCTTCTGCTCTACATCCAGGGGCTGTCCCTCTGAACAGGAGGGAATGAACCTCTGCATCTTTTGAAACAGATCTTGAAAAGAGGCCTTGAATTTCCCTAAATGTCAGAGTGCTGCAGTCAGTGTGGATTCCAGCTCCTCAACTGCTAGATTTGAAGTACAAACTTGGAAATTGAGCTGTAGATCATTGTGGTATTTTTCATTCTGCTAAATCCCACTTGTGAGGTATCTCTTTAAGCTCCCAACCTCTTCCCTTCTCACATCCACCTGGGCTCAGCACCTGCACCAATCCCCACCCAGGCACAGGTAGTTTCAGAAGGGATTGTGTGGCTGGAAAGCCGGGATCAATGGTTAGGAAAACAAAATGGGACTTGGACATGGAAATGTCTCCTCCCAGTGTCACAATGGGATCCCAAGCAGACTCTGCCTGATCTCAGCAAAGGGGACAAGTTTTATGTTGGACGTTTTTGTATTGTTAGGCAGCGCTTGGTATAAGATTTGGGATCAACAACTGGAATTGCACGTACCACTGAAATTCAGATATTACCTAAATCAGTCTAATAAGGAGGAAAATGAAGCTGCAGAGCTGAGTTTGAACTGAAGGCCACACTTGGACACCAGAGCTCAGCCCAGCTACCTGACAGATGTGTGTCTGGATCCCAGGTGTGCACCTCTGCCCAAGGTAAGCAACTTTTACAGCATGACCTGTTTTAAAAGCAAACCACTCACAAGTTTTTAATTGAATCTGGGAACATTTCTCAGCAATTTGTGTTTTAGGTTAGAAAAGAGTTAACAGCAAGTCTGAGCAATTGCCCTTTGTTTGTTCTGTGGCTTTTGCTGTAAAGGGTGTAAAGCAGAGCAATAACTGCCTTTCAAAATGGATTACTTGAAAACTGATTCTTCTTGCCTTTAAGAGCTTACAAGAGCTTGCTGAAAAATTTTTCAGATGTAGATTGTTCTTTGGAAAATGTCATTGAAAAATTGGCCACTAGAAAATACAATTGGAATTGTTTTCCAATGGAATATTGTTCTATTAGAAAACCTGTTTTTATCTGAATCAATTGTCTGTGGAAATGTTTCCATTCTAACGTTTCATTTTTTTAAAAAATTGAATGTATTTCAATAATACTGAAGTATGTTGCACATACTTTCAATCTGTTACCCGAAAGCATTTTTTGTTTCAATTTTTAATTTTTATAACTGAAATACTGTTAAAAGATCACATTGAAACATTTGATTTGATAGAAACACTTGTTGTATTTGATGTTTATATACTACAAAATGATGGGGGAAATGGCTGATGCCTCTCAGATGTGGTATAACATCTGTGATCACGAGAGAAAAATCAAACCCAGCCTGGCTTTGCGTTTTGTTTAACTCTGCTGCTAAAGCAATGTATTATATAAGGCAGTATCATGCAGTTCAGCACATTGGGGAATTGTTGCAGGTAAAAATTTCATGCAAACTTTATTACACAGAATTGGATATTCCTTTGAATCCGAATTCTGGCTGGAGGCAAAGCTGTCAGTTGGTCGAGCTGCAGCGCAGACAGCTCTGGCAGCACAATTTGCAAGGGGGTAGGAACACACACGCAGCAGAGTTGTGCCTACAAACTTTAAGTGGAGATAGATGCCAAAGCTGGAAAAATGCCTGTAAACCTGTTAGAGGTTTCTGTAGTCTTTTATGCCAAGCTATTTTCATGGCCTAGGGTTCAAACACTTGGTAACGAGGCTCACGTGGCTTTCAGTGCTGCATGGGCACATGGGCTGAGGTGTCTGAGCAGCAGTTGTTATGCTGTTCCCTGGAGACTGGCAAAGCAAGGCACAGGAGTCTGAGGCTTGTAGGAGAGCAACATTCTAGGATTTTGCAATTATTTGTCTTGTGTACTCCAAGTGGTTCCGCATTAATCAGCTTAGACTGCGAAAATGTGTTCCCCTTTGGTGCAGTTTCTATCCTCCTTGCTCTTGTTCAGTTCTGAGAATTGAATACCACCACACAATTTCGTGTTATATGCTGTTAAGAGGTACATGATTTCAACCAAGGGATTGTGATTCACTTCTTGTAAGTTACTTGTTTTCTCCATTTCTCCTGCTTGC